AAATGTCCCACTGTCTGGCTTCCTGCATAAAGTCAAGTGCTCGGCGCAGTTGTGGCGAAATGTCGCTCCTCTGTTTTTATTTAAACAGCTCCTTATACCCGTTAGCGCAGCTAGCTAGCACCAGATGCTAACAACAACAATGCACGTAAGGTCTCTTTCTCGCTCGCTCCGGCCACACATACACACACCCTCCCGGTCCTCCCAACAGCCAGTCGGTGCCTGCCGGTGAGCGTGGAAGTGTGGTCTGCAGCAAGCGGGCGACAGGAGCGGGGCTGTCAGCATCAGCTTGTAGATGGTATTTTAAACTCGATGCGCTCTGAAACTACGGGGCGGCCGAGGACAAAAAATACACATGCGTTAAACGCGTTAAAATAATTAGCGGCGTTAAAAAAAATGTTGCGTTAACGCGTTATTAACGCGGTATTAACGCGTTAACTTGACAGCCCTAATATATAGACATCAACACATCTAATGTAATCCTTGGTTAGAGACCCCCAAATCCGTTTTCATCCCAGTAATATTGTACTCTCCTACAAGGAAGTTGTCTATATAAGGCAAAGTGGTTACTGTTTCGCAACCATCTGAAAACGTCTGTTAGTAGAGTGAACAGATTTGTTATTCATCCAGAGCTCAAGGCTGCTCTCTCTCTGCCAAATGCAATTACAATCAAATGCTGACCTGCTTTTTGGCAATAATATGTTGGCTCCCTGTGATAATCCCAGAGGGTGAGGAAAGGAAAAGACAAAGAAACGAATCTTATTTCACTCATCACGTTGACTTTTTATCAGGCACTGGTTTATGACTATCACGTGTTCAAATCATAGATTTTGTGGCATTTATGAGTTGTTAGGAGAAAATAAACATGTGATTTTAACCTGATATAATGTCATTCTTCCCCCGATACACTTTGAGTGATGGTAAAAACAGTGATTGTCTTATATGAATGTATATTTAAAGAAGCCCTATTCTGCTGATGTTCAGGTGTATATCAGTATGTAGTGTCTCTACTTTAAAGAGTCCTCTCCTGCTGATGTTCAGGTGTATATCAGTATGTAGTGTCTCTACTTTAAAGAGTCCTCTCCTGCTGATGTTCAGGTGTATATCAGTATGTAGTGTCTCTACTTTAAAGAGTCCTCTCCTGCTGATGTTCAGGTGTATATCAGGATGTAGTGTCTCTACTTTAAAGAGTCCTCTCCTGCTGATGTTCAGGTGTATATCAGTATGTAGTGTCTCTACTTTAAAGAGTCCTCTCCTGCTGATGTTCAGGTGTATATCAGTATGTAGTGTCTCTACTTTAAAGAGTTCTCTACTGCTGATATTCAGGTGTATATCAGTATGTAGTGTCTCTACTTTAAAGAGTCCTCTCCTGCTGATGTTCAGGTTCATATCAGTATGTAGTGTCTCTACTTTAAAGAGTCCTCTCCTGCTGATGTTCAGGTGTATATCAGTATGTAGTGTCTCTAATTTAAAGAGTCCTCTCCTGCTGATGTGCAGGTGTATATCAGTATGTAGTGTCTCTACTTTAAAGAGTCCTCTCCTGCTGATGTTCAGGTGTATATCAGTATGTAGTGTCTCTACTTTAAAGAGTCCTCTCCTGCTGATGTTCAGGTGTATATCAGTTATGTAGTGTCTCTACTTTAAAGAGTCCTCTCCTGCTGATGTTTCAGGTGTATATCAGTATGTAGTGTCTCTACTTTAAAGAGTCCTCTCCTGCTGATGTTCAGGTGTATATCAGTATGTAGTGTCTCTACTTTAAAGAGTCCTCTCCTGCTGATGTTCATGTGTTTATCAGTATGTAGTGTCTCTACTTTAAAGAGTCCTCTCCTGCTGATGTTCAGGTGTATATCAGTATGTAGTGTCTCTACTTTAAAGAGTCCTCTCCTGCTGATGTTCAGGTGTATATCAGTATGTAGTGTCTCTACTTTAAAGAGTCCTCTCCTGCTGATGTTCAGGTGTTTATCAGTATGTAGTGTCTCTACTTTAAAGAGTCCTCTCCTGCTGATGTTCAGGTGTATATCAGTATGTAGTGTCTCTACTTTAAAGAGTCCTCTCCTGCTGATGTTCAGGTGTATATCAGTATGTAGTGTCTCTACTTTAAAGAGTCCTCTCCTGCTGATGTTCAGGTGTATATCAGTATGTAGTGTCTCTACTTTAAAGAGTCCTCTCCTGCTGATGTTCAGGTGTATATCAGTATGTAGTGTCTCTACTTTAAAGAGTCCTCTCCTGCTGATGTTCAGGTGTATATCAGTATGTAGTGTCTCTACTTTAAAGAGCCCTCTCCTGCTGATGTTCAGGTGTATATCAGTATGTAGTGTCTCTACTTTAAAGAGTCCTCTCCTGCTGATGTTCAGGTGTATATCAGTATGTAGTGTTTTCACCCTCTGTCTGAAACCAGAGCCCAGTCTGCTCTGATTGGTTAGCTGGCCAGCTCTGTTGTGATTGGTCAAACACAGGCTATCAAGTACAATGTGTTGGAGCGCTAGCCGAATAGAAGCACGAGTGTTACATAGTGATGTAATTTTCGTTCCAGAAGTAAAAAATGAGCCCAGGCCTCTGCAGACCAGTTACATGCACAACAACCTATAACACCAGGAAAGAGAAAACCCCCAAAAGCCTAATACGGCCTCTTTAAACATTTATCTGAGGGCTATTTGTATGCCTTTGATCACCTTACATTACATTGCATTTAGCTGACGCTTTTATCCAAAGCGACTTACAATAAGTGCGTTCGTCCAACAAAATACAACTTGAAGAAAACAGAATCATAAAGTACATCAGGTTTCATAGAGCCAAACATTTCAAGTGCTACTCAACTGGCTTTAGATAAGCCAGTCCTTTATTAGTATAAAAGTGCTTTGTTAATAGTTCTATCGCTCGAAGTGGAGTCGAAAGAGATGAGTTTTCAGTCTGGAAGGTGTGTAAGCTATCTGCCGTCCTGATGTCAATGGGGAGCTCATTCCACCATCTTGGAGCCAGGATAGCAAACCCACGTGTTTTTGCTGATGGGAACTTGGGTCCCCCTCGCAGCGAGGGCGCAGCGAGTCGTTTGGCTGATGCAGAGCGTAGTGCACGCGCTGGGGTGTACAGTTTAACCATGTCCTGGATGTACGAAGGGCCAGATCCATTCGCAGCATGGTAAGCAAGTACCAGTGTCTTGAAGTGGATTCTAGCAGTTACCGGAAGCCAGTGAAGGGAGCGGAGGAGCGGAGTGGTGTGGGGAACATTTAGGATCACCTTAAAGACATTCATTCACTCTGCATAACAACTTACTTTAATTAAATCTGTTGCAACAGCAGCTGCCGTCTGGTTGTATCACTTTCATTTCCAACAAAAGGGACATTATTTACTGCAGCAGTTAAAAGATAATCGTGTGGGGTAAGCATCATTAATGATATTCATGTTCAGACAAGTGATATTGAGCAATAACTTGTTTCCTAAATAAACAGCAAGTCGAGACTCCTGTCCTTGGCACTTGTTCGGGCCTTGTGTTTGCTCCCGTCTACACACTTTGTAAACTTTCCTGTGTGAAAGGGCTGTAGGGTTGGGGGTTCAACACTTCATTGCAAAATATGATGCTTGAGTGGTTATCACTTATCAGAAATACAGCAGGTGCGTGCAGACACTGGTAGAGTTGGCGTTAAACCACACGGTGATGGTAACATGCAAAGAGCCTGGCACCAGATCGTTTTACCTGCAGGGGGAATTTAAAAGTGAAAGGTGAAGTGGAAGTTAAATGAAGGGAAGAAGTAAGAGACCACAGATTGGAACAAAATGAAATGTCACAGTCTCAAAAGACCCCGCTGCTTAATGTTTGAACAAATACACAAATGCATCAAATGTCCTCATCAGCTCTTTTACAGGAAAGAGATTTCGGACGGCTCCAAAATCCGTTCCTGCGAATTTCCTCAAGGGTCAAGCTTTTTCCTTTTTTGTTTAACTTCAGTGCTTTTAAGGAAGCAAGAAATCATGGGAAATCTCAGGGGAAATCCCTCGGTAAATGTTTTAAAACCTTGGCTGGAGTCTTGCATAATATTATCCCAGTGGAAAGATAAGGAGATGAGGAAACGGTGTTACACCAAGTACTTTTATTCTGATGAGTGGATACAGCCTTAGAGATCCATAGAGCATTTTCAAAAGAAAACATCAGCACCAAGCTTAACACAGATCAACACAATGAGATCGAAGTCGTGCAAAATGTAAAACAATCCATGCACTCAAGACTCTTTGTGACAATGTTGGTAAGATTTACAAACATTTAAATACATTTACAAAAGGCATTTCAGGCATCAGTAATTGCTTTAAAGGTCCCATGTCATGCTTTTCCGGCCATCACCCGTCCCCTTGTTGTTAGGAAGGTTTTTCAGCATGTAAACGGTCTGCAGAGTCACAAACCCTCAAAGTGCACCCTGTAGCGAGTAAAACTCTAACACAGAGAAGACCTGTCTGCTGCCCCAGAACGCCTCGTTGGACATTTCTCTTTTTCCATTGTTTACTTCTTGGGTATAGTGACGTATTTTGGGTATAGTGACGTAATGTAACGGCTCCGCAGATTGGTCCAAAAGAACCAATCCGCGGAGCCGTTACGTTTGGCCCAATCCGCGGACTTCCTCACACACACACTCGGCGGGACGTTGCGAGGCTCGCTGCAGCGAGGAGCGGGACACTGTGAGCTGGCTCACTGGTGTGGGGTCGGCGAGACAGCGAGACACCGCAGAACTCAGCCTGGGCACACACACAAACTCCCAGCCAGGCTGCGGGTGTGTGTGTGCCCAGGCTGGGTTTCACTGTGTCTCGCAGTCTCGCAGACGGCCACTGGGCTCACAGGGAGGGAGGGGGCAGGAGCTCCAACAAGCCGTTTAGGACAGAGAGTGAATAGTGTACACATACTATACAGAGATGCTGTGAGAAACCAATGTGAGTTTGAAAAATTGCACAATATACATGACATGGGACCTTTAAAGGTCACCTGTCATGCAAAATGTACTTTTGGATGTCTTTTATACATTATGTGTCCCAGGAGACTCACAAAGTGTCAGAAAATACAACCCTCTCTCTTTCACGATATGGCCCTATAATATATTGTTCAAATATAGCATAATAGGTGAGCTTTAACACACATTGAGAGGAGTAGTTTTACACGTTGTCCATTGTCCTTGCCTCATGTGGTTCCAATTTTGCTCTACATTATTTTCACCCCAGGACATTTTTCCAGTCTCAGGTTTCGTTTCTGTTACCTAAGCATGTCCTCAGTGTCCATTTCATCAGGATTACCCGCAGCCCCGGATTAGTTCAGTAGATGTATGCACTGAAGAGGCTGATAATCATACAGAGATTGATACACCTGCGTCACTTAGCTGTTATCGGTGATGTAATCATGACACAAAGCCATAGCTGATTACTGAGAAGATGTGCCCTCGAGCGTGAGCCGTGATTGACTTACACAGAAGAACAGAAGATCCCGGACCTCCATTTGGATCCATTTCATTCGAGCGTTGCACAACACAACTGCAGCGTTTCTCAACAGGTCACACAAAGCCTCGCGGATAAAAGGAGCCTGACGTGATGGAAGGAGTGTTAGCCAACAAATGGGCACATGTGTAAGTGATAAGTCCAGTTATACAGTAGTGTAGTGATGAAGTCCTTTTGTAGCTGGTCCCATAAATTAGCATCGGTGAGGGGTCCCTAGGAAAAAGACGCAGAAAATAAGCTTTGTGGTTCATGATACTTAAAACGTTTTGTTCGGCAGGATCATCTCCTTATATTAGCACCACTTTAAGACTCAATCGCTATAATAATAACAATAGATGACATTTTGATAGCGCCTTTCAAGAGACCCAAGGCCGGTTTACATGCTGTGAACAAACAAACAAACAAGAAGGGCAAATAATAAAGTGAAAATGAAATAAATAGCAGTGGGAGTGGAAGCAGGTGGACTATCAACGACCTACATCCTGCTCACATTAGTGTCACCACCGCTAAGCTTGATGAGGTTTAGTAGTTTATAAAGTCACTTGTTAGCAACCGCTGTTTTATGACATGTAGAAGCTTTTGACATTCACAAGCTGTGTGAGGTATTTTATGTTGTAGAACAAATATCTGAGTCCTTATTTTAGGTTTCTAGCCACAACCAGGTATGAAAAAACGTTGACTTCAAGACATGCGACAAGTCTTTTCCGGGGTTTAGGACTCGCGTCTGCACCACTCTTTCTCTTCACAGCACAACACAGACAGCGGAGGGATCGTGTTTGTCCACAGGAGCTATAGACCACTGTTTGGAGGTCCCGTACTCATCAGGGTGGAGCGCTGAATACCCCACGGCCTCCACGGACCTCCTCTTCTGGACCCGATGGAGCAGGATCCTGTAGGTCCCCGTCAGAGGACTCTTGCAGTCTACACACTGATTGTTCTGTAAATGCACCGTCACAATCCCCAGGTCTGACAGAGAGCTCTTCACCTCCGCCTCCTCCACGCTCAGAGTCTGGTTCGCCTGGAGGAAATGAGCCGGGGAGAGGGGCAGCGTCACATAAGGGGGAGGGTAGTCGATCCCTGTTAGCCACGTACTGTTTAAAATCTGCGTGAGAGTGGAGCGGTCGATAGGCACAGGTCGCAGCATGCCTTTAATCACCAGCTGGCAGGGGTCCGGCACATACGCAGGCATGCTGTAAGCCCCCTGGAGGATGCTGCGCTTCAAACGCCCCATTTTCTCCCCGCAGAAAGGCAGAGTGGCCGTCAGCATGAAGTATAACAGAATACCCAAAGCCCAGACGTCCGAGTAGTATCCGACGTACCCTTTGTCCTTGAAGAGTTCAGGAGCAGCGTACGGAGGGGAGCCGCAGAAGTTAGTGAGCAGTTCGTTAGGCCGGGTCTCCGTGCTGAAGCCGAAGTCTCCCACCTTGATGCAGTGGCTGGTGGTGTAGAAAACATTCTCTGGCTTCAGGTCTCTGTGCACGATGTGGTTGTCGTGCTGAAATGTCAGAGAGAAATGGGAAAAATCTCAGTTTTATGAAAACATATATGGAAAGAGAATGTTGAAAGTCTCTGAAAACATTTAACAACAATCATCGTTTGCTTTTTCAGTTTTTTTAAAGCACGACAGGAAATAGATTTTGATGAAATGCTGAAATGATGATTAGTCAGACGGAAATCACAAGTTCATTTCCTCACGTTAAGTACAGGTTTAAGGTACTTTTACTTAATTTATTTACCATGTCTTTGACTTTCTAACTTAATATTTTGAAGGGTTGACATTGTACCCTCCCTAGTCATGAGAGTTATACATATGATAATAAATTAACTACTCAGATGGTTTCATGTAAAGTATTGTATGCATTTAAAGACCCCCGTGTTAGGAAACCAGTATGTGAATTAGTTTAAACTAGCTTCCACCAGATATAACAGTGAAAGGTTGCCATCAGTATTAAGTATATAATAATGTCACATGGACAATTTATATATGTACATTTGACTGAAAATCCCTCAGTACTTTTTTGTGTTTTCACAGTATTTTTACATCAAGTATACTGAATCTAAGATGGTTCACATGTTGTAAACTGTTTGTTGTTAACAGTCATCGTTAAATCAGAGAAAAAACAAGATACGTTGTTTTTCTTTCTGAGATTTAAGTGCTCAATTATGGGATGTTCTGGTGGCTGATGGGGCTGAAACGCTGATTGCAACATCCAGTTTAAGGCCGACTGAGAAACCTTTCTTTGCCTTTCATCTCATTTCCTTTCAGCTTTCTACCTCCACTATTTAAGATAAGATAAGAGCTACTTTATTGATCCCAATTTTGTGAAATGTTTGCGTTGCAGCAGCATAAAGACAACAAAACAAAACAAGGCATTGCCCATAAGTAGAAATAAACAATACTAGAATTTAGACATCTGAAAATAGTAGAAAATATACAGTATGCCGTGAAGATTAAAAATCTATAAACTCTGACAATGAAACACTATTGAACGACTTTAGACACGATATAAAGCAGGGTATTATTTACATTCAAAGGAAAATGTTGTATAATGGAGCAGATAGTTCTCTTCCAGCATCCATATATTTAATATGAACAAATACCTCCCAAAAAATACCCCATTAGTCAACTATTGCATTTTAATAGATATGGTTTAAACATCCACAGATTGATCCTTTGAAATAGTTTCACTTCATCTGAAATCCCGCTCTCATTCCCTAAATGATGACTCAACCCTGTGAGTCTTGAACCCCTCATAGCTCCATGGATCTGAGACACAGAGGATCAGTGAATGATGAAGAAGGCTCCTCCTCACCATGTGCTTCACAGCAGAGATGACTTGAGCGAACACCATCTTGCTCTCCAGGTCGTTGAGCTTCCCTCTGGTGGTGATTCTGGAGAAGAGGTCTCCACTGCTGCCGTACTCCATCACCAGGTACAGCTTCCTGCTGGTCTCCATCACCTCGTACAGACGCACGATGTTGGGGTGGCACAGCTTCTCCATGCAGCTGATCTCTGACACCATCATGGGCCCGCTCTTCTTATCCAGACGCATCTTGTCCATGATTTTGACGGCGACTCTCTCTGAGACAGAATCAAATGCAGATTTATTATAGCCCCATATCACAAGAAATGCCTCAAAGGGCTGCACAAAGCCGACCAAAGCAAAGACTAAAACACAAACGTTGTTAGAGCCAGTAGTGTTTTTGAAAAGAAAGGCCGCACCTAATCGTGACGTCTGTAGTCAACACACTATAGAAGACTACAATTCGCACGGCGCCTCGTCTGAAGTGACAGTGATGGCTGTGGCACAGTGCGTTGGTGTTCGGATCAGGTTCAAACCCCACTGCAGTCAGCATGTCGTTGTGTCCCTGAAGACACTTCACCCCAAATTGCTCCAGTGGGGATTGCTCACAGTATTGAGTATGTAAGTCGCTTTGGATAAAAGCGTCTAACAAGTGACATGTGATGTAATGTACAGTAATGTAATGATG